GCGGCTGGGCAGCTCCCCCAACGTGCTGATGACGTCACTGACACTCTCCCTGCCTTCCTTCCGTCTCCACTCCCAGCGGGTCCGACGAGACTGCCGCGGGAGGCCCTCACAAGAAGCGAAGGAAGGGGAGAGCGCAATGAGCGCTCCTGAGGTACAACTCTCTACCTTCATCGTAGTTATAACCACGCACGTTCCTGTGCCGGGCCATGACGAGCGTGCCGACGACGGCCTGAGGTAGAGGGCCGAAAGTTGCCCCCCCCTTTTTTTTTTACACCCTTAAGAGTTGGAGCCCGTAAAGCCTCCGAGCCGCCATGTTTGTCGGCTACGGCCTACCGCGTAACGTCACGCCCTCCTTCTCCTCTTCACGTCCGCGCATGCTCCGCTCGCTATTTTCCACCACAAGCGCGCATGCGCAACCCTCCCTCCGACCGTTTTAACGCGGGCGGGACGGGTTAATTTGACGCGCAGGAGAGGGGTGGTGTGTTGTCCCTGCGCGACTTGGAGTTGTCCTTGCTTGTTTGCGCCAGCCTCGGCTACGTCATATATAGCGTCACGACGCTCCAGCCAATCAAGCGAGGGCTTTGCGCTCAAAGGTGTTCGCTTCGATTATGAGGCCAGCGTCCCTTTGGGCTTTTGCAGGAGGGAGGCGTTTGTAGCTCCCTGGGGTTTACGTCCCAGGTACGCCGTCGTTAGCTACTCTTAGTCCCACCGTCTCGGCTGGGCAGGGCGACACGGGGAGAACGGAGGCGCTTCCCATGTGCATGCCTGCTATTCTCGTGTATTTTCAGCCTTTATGCCTCTGTGTAGCTTGAAGAGCTCTCAGGAGAGGCTATCCGTGTTATGAGAAAAGGAATAGATCTCTAGATCGTCTTCCTCTCAATATCAGTAGTTACCGCCTTCCCAGCATGTGGCATATTTCATTTTACAGAGAATGGATTGGGGGGGTGTAGTTTCTGCACGTTTTAAGTTTCATCTTGAATCCGTGGCCAAGTAATGTAATCATATGCCATTATTCTGATAAAGTCAAGCGTTTGTTCGTGACTCAGTGTATCAAGCTCTTGACTTTTATCTAAATCCTTGATTGAGGGGCATTATTCTCCTGGCCCTTAGCAAGCCGTGTGAAGCAGTAGTCAGAGGCTCCCGCGACTGTGTCCTCAAAATAACCCCATGAGGTAGCTTAGTCTCATAACCAGAATTTTAAGGAGCTTCATGGCTGATCCTGCACTCAATTTACCTTTCCACAGCTTTGTCTTTTTCCTGTTTTGGGTCTTGGGATCAGAGCGATGTAGTGTTTCTAAAATTGCAACACAGCCAGGGTCAAATTGAGTGTCCTTGAATTCAAAGAGGCTTACTTTTGAGTTGATGCTTACAATATTGCATTGTAGGTGAGGATTTGACCCTGGCTGTGTTGCAATTTTAGAAACACTGCATCACTCTGATCCTAAGACCCCAAAAAAAGGGGGGGGGGAAGCTGTGTTGTTTAGATTATGATGGCCAGAATCTTGCTAGCATTGGTGTAAGGCTTGGTACTTTACTTTATTTGGACTTATACCCCACCCTTCTAGAAAAAGTCTACTCGGGGTGGCTTGCAGGAGTAATAAAATAAAATAAAATAAGATACATAATGATAAAACCTACTAACAGATGCATATAGAGATTATCAAGATGAAAGAATTGAGAAAGAAAGATCAATTAATTGACTGGAGGGAAGGCCTGCCTAAAGAGCCAAGTTTTTAAATGGCTTTTAAAAACACCCAGCGAGGGAGCCAGGCGGATTTCCATTGGGAGAGTGTTCCACAACCGAGGGGCCACTGACGAGAAGGCCCGGTTTCTTGTTCTTCCCTTCCGGGCCTCTGATAACTTCCTGTTGCTAAAATGATGAAATGTTGGGGCAAGTCTCAGTAAGGTGCCTAGTTATACACCAACTGCTACATTCTGGCACTTTGTTAATTAATTATAATTAGCAGCAGCAAGTTATGAAAACCCTAAACAAAGATCAGTAGAATTTCAGCACTTGGGCACAAATTCCTTGGCTAGAAAATTGGTACAGTATAAGAGTGCCTTATCTCATGTGAACAAAATGTCCCCCTCTAGTGGTCGAAGGCAGAATAGAAGCTTCCCATTAGTTTCTATGGACGGAAAAGGGTAGATACGGATCAAATGGTTTTCAATGCATTCCTATGGGAAATGCAGATTTGACCTGAGATCTTTTTGACTTGAGAACCGCCTTCCAATACGGATTAAGTTCTCAAGTCAAGACCCCACTGTATAAGAGTGCCTTATCTCATGTGCTTCACTGGAATAAATAAAAGTATAAGATTTCGCAGGAAATGTTATTAAAATGTTATACATTTGTTGCATTATAGTTAAATTTATTTTATTTTTCATTTCAGTGAATCTGATAACTAAGAAATACCAAATTCATCAAATTGTTGGCACTGTATTTGAATTTCTTAAGACCGGATTGTAAAGTTCAATTGCTAGGACAAATGTACTATCTTGAAAGGACTAATCTTCTTTTACAGATGTAGTCTATAATTTACAAATCTACATAAAAACCTATCTGATAAAAGTTCATGCCTGCAGTATGATGATTCTTTTGTATCAACATACTTGTCACTCTGCACTTGAAAAAAAAGTAGTAATACCACAAAATTGGGTGGATATTGAAATATGCAAGGTCTTGATAATGAGACATTTACCCACAAATTTTAAGGAAATAGTTTACCACAAAAAATGAAAGAAAGAATTCATATACTTTTTCTTACTGCGCTATTAGGCATGTTCTTTAATACAATACAGATAAAAATTCTGCATAATTGTCATAAAACAAATATTTATATTAGCTGAAATACAGCAGCATAATTTAGATTGCATAAGGCTGATGATATTATTAGCCATTGAAATTTTTAGGCAATAAAACATTTCTGATTCCTTTCCCTGAAGATTCTGAGGCATCACTGGGATCCTTTCCATCTTGGCAAGCTACTGAGGGTTGTGGAAACTAGGAGTAATTGCAGCCACATGGTGATCGTTTCCGTGCAATAAATATGAAGTAGGTATTTCGGGATTGTTGTTAGTGCTGCCATCTCTGATTTATGGCAGTCCTGTGAATGAGCAATCTCTAAAATGTCATGTCCTCAACAGGCCTGCTCAGCTTTTGTAAACTCAAGTCTGTGGCTTCTTTTAGGGAATCAATTCTTCTCATATTTGGTCTTCATCTTTTCCTGGTGCCTTCAATTTCTCCTAACATTATTGTCTTTCCCAAACAATCTTGCCTTCTCATGATGTGTCCAAAGTAGAACAGCCTCAGTTTCAAATTTTTCACATTTTTGCCTCCAGAGATAGCTCAGACTTGATTTGGTCTAGGATTTACCTGTTCATCTTTCATCCACAAAGCTCTCTTCCAGCACCTTATTTCAAACAAATCAGTTATTTTCCTGTCAAATTTCTTCACTGTCTAGCTTTAACACTGGTACATAGTAATCAGGAATATAATACTGTAGTAGGAAAGATTTTGGCCTTGGCCTCCAATGACACATCTTGACACTTGATGATCTTTTCTAATTCCTTTATTGCTGCCCTTCCAAGTCTCAGTCTTTTTCTGATTTCTTGACAGCAGTCTCCATTTGGATTAATGATTGCTTTAACAATGCTTGTTTCTTCATTGTCAGCGTTAAAGTTGTCTTCTTAATGTTCAACTGTAGTCCTGTTTAGGCACTTTCTTCTTTCATTTTCGCCAAAAGTCACTTCAAGACTTTGCTGCTTTCTGCCATTAAGATGGTGTCATTAACATATATTAAAATATTGATGTTTCTTCTATCTGTTTTCACTCCACCGTCATCTGAATCTAATCAGTTTGTCTTTGACTTAAAATACTGTAGTCCTATCATTTTAGGATTTTAGTCTGTTGCTTCAGCTGTGACGTTCCAGCTTCCTGGCAGTCCAGCTTTGTGAGTCTATCCTGACAGCATTGCTCTCACCTTCTCTGACACAAACCCCTCATCATGTTAAGGTGTGCATCCAAGAAGGGTATTTCTTCATAGTCTTATTGAAATGACTATGTACCACCTTCAGTTTTCCATGTGCAGTACAGTGTTGCCTCGACTTACGAAATTAATCCGTATTGGAATTATTTTTCATAAGTCGAATCACCGTTTCACATAGGAATGCATTAAAAACCATTTAATCAATTCTGGCTGTTTTTGGTTCTTATGTAGAGGCACCGTTCTTAAGTCAAAGCATTAGTTCCCATAGGAACTAATCCAAAAACGGTTAATCTGTAATCTACCACTAGGGGGAGAATTTTTCTTCTTTTGACCTAAGATGAATTTAGATTTTAAAAAAAGGGCAGGAAAGTTTTTTTTCATTTTTTTTTGTTTGTAGTTTGAGGCTCCGTTCGCAAATCGAAGCAACATTTTGCAAACGGAACCACTCGAAACGTTTGCAAGTGGAAATGTTCGTAAGTTGAGGTACCACTGTAATTCCATTTCAGTGCATTCCTATGGTGAGAAAAGCCTTGAGTCTACAGTAGACTCCATTTTAAAACTCCATTTTAAAACCTGCCTGCCTGCATCAACAACCAGCAACCATTATTACAGCAAACAGATCCCCAAAGAAAGAAATACTTTGAGGCCGCATTTTAAACCCACACATTTTAAAACAACAGAGAGGTCACAGTACTCAAACCCTAGAAGCCACAAAATGCAAAAAATACAGTCTAATTTTCACATTTAATTTTAATTTAATATTACAGTCTACTTTTCACATTTTAAATCCACACTTCAAGACCCATCAGAGCACAGAAACATAGCCCCCCACCTAGCCCTGCCCCACCACCAAGCTGCAAAAAACTCTGTACAGTACAGTAAATTCTGTACAATGTATGTACTCACCCAGAGCAGGCAGTCTCTCTGTTTTTAAAAAAGGTCAAAAATACAAAAATCAAAAATTTAAAAAAAAAGCCAAAGAAAAATACTACCTGGTGGTCTGAAGACTCTCTCCCTATCCACTCTTTAACCGCTGGGACGAGTGAGGTAGCAGACGAGCAGCCTCTTCGCTGCCCAACAGTCAAGTAAAAGTTCAAAATTTGCACTTTTTCCGCCCCCATGTTTTTTTTTCTCGTAACTCAAAGCTCCGGCCGCAAGTCAAAGCAATTTTTTGCGGCCGGAGTTTTTCATATCTCAAAATTTTTGCAACTAGGGATATTCGTAAGTCGAGGCACCACTGTAATGAGGAGGTCTAACAAAGTCTTTGAAAGGATAATAAATGACTCTAGTGCTCCAAGTAAGATGGCTCTCAGTTCATACTCAGTGCTTATCCAACAAAGACACTTTGTTGTCCTCTCTGTGCATTTGACCTGTTCCTACAATTTTTAGCTCAGAGATTTTCTGAAAA